ATCTCCAGGGAGACATTCAGGATAAGGGCAAGAGCGGTTCCCTGCTACCCAGTTCCATAGCGGAAAACAGTTGGCTTTCAGGCGGAACAATGTCCGTGTGACCTGCGGAAAGTTGCTCGGATTCTGCGTAGGTCTTTTCAATCTATCAAAGCGGCACCCTGAGCTATGACAAGATGATCGACCGCCGTCATGCGTTTATCCCGTTGTAGGACTCCAATTCCACACTTCAATTTTGCAATTGACGCTTTGAAATCTTTCGGCGAGAAATCCATCCCATTCGATCAATATATATGTGTACGATACGTGTGAGCGATGGATGCGACGCAAGACGGATCGATAATCCGCTGGAGCAAGTCGCTGCCTGATCGCACTCTAACATAGAGCGCACTGGCGCCGAGTAGCACGGCTGGCCATGATCCCAGTGGCATACGGCCATGCCAGTACTATTTAACGTCCAGGTGTGATGCCTAGGGACATCAATCGAGACCGGGCAAAAAAGGTAGCCCCCATAGCCCGGTAGGGGAAAGACGGGTAATTGAAAATTAGAGCCTGACAGAATCATCCAAACTGCCTTTGTTTGCCTGGCAGTGTAGTGGGTGATCTGTTGCTAGGTGTAAATTGGACTACACTCATTGTAGTCCACGTACAGGAGAGAACGTCACCTAGCGTGGTTTTGTCACGTGCAAAGCTGGCATTGTTAAGCTGATAGAATCCTCCGCGAGCGTCAAGAAGCCAAGTTAAGGTCCCGAGAGATGCATGCTTCAGCCAATTTGTGTTGCAACGTCCATGTAATGATTTCTTCTCCAAATTATCGTTACGAGTCGAAAGGTCCAGCAAAGCCCGGGCATCAACGATGACACCCCGTCCTCAGCATAAGTGGTCATCACTCTGGTTTCAAAAAGCGCCGCCCGCTGTCTCACGACCGTCACATCGCGCCTTCCCGCGTGTTCCGCGAACGGATACCGCAACTGCGTTGGCATTGGTCTCCCACAGGATAGCAGATATGGTTTGCTTTGGTTCCGGACCCCAGTGCGGGGTAATGTATAATAGGCGTGAGTCTTCAGAACCCCATATTTTATCGCCCACGACAAGATCCCTGGGGGAGGCCGTCGTGGCCTATTTGCCGACCGTCATGGCTGCGAGCGTAATTAACTCTGCGCGGACGCACGGAGTGGACATATCGTTATCTTAAAGCGGTAGTGAACCGTGCTCTTCTTGCGCCCAGTGGCGCGAGCGTCGCCCATTTCGTTTACCCCATACGAAGTCCTTAATAAAACCCTAAAGCTTAATAATGATATGCGAAGAAGGCCAACAGTGTCGCGCAACGTAGAGTATCTTAGGTATTGCTATCGCATTCGCTAGGCACGCCCTCTGCTCCACGGTGTGATTCTTTACACGATCCAAAGCGAGTCGAGAATGAAAGGATTCAAAATATTGTATCCATTTTGCTTCCGTCGTGTCGCCCTGTCCCACCTGTACCCCTAGATAACGGCATAGCTTATTCGACCCAAGCACCGAAAGACCTTGGGATTCAACTACCCGTCCCGGATCATACGACCCCACCACTGAGACTATGGATTTAGTGCTGTTTATCGTGAGACCATATGCCCAATAAAAGGCGTCAAGGATGTCCAGGACTGTAGGGATGAAAGTACCACCACGCAAGTAGAGCGCCGTGTCGTCTGCATAGCCGGACACTGAAATCGTCTCTGCATGGTCACCTGATCGAAGGGCTATTCCTTCAATGTCAGGGCGTGCTCGTATACCCTTGTTTAGGCAATCAAGCGCAAGACTAAAAAGTAGAGGAGCCATGGGACACCCTTTCCGTATTCCACACCGCACATCACGTCGCTTGGACCTAAAACCGCTCACTAAAAAGCGACAAGTTGTATTTTGATGAAGTACTCGACAATTGTAATAAACTGCTGCTAAATACCTACCCACTTGAGCACAGCGAGAAGAAAAGGGCGTTGCAAGGAATCGTACGCCTGGTGAAATCGAGTAACAGCGCTATAGAGCCATGCTGCGTGGTATCGGTCGTTGGTGCTATCTTGGCTGCCGCATAGATGTCTAGAGCTGTCGCAATAGAGCGACCAGGCACGAAACCGACCTGGGCGTCGTCAATCGTCATGGGTAAAATGGTAGAAAGCCGCCCTGTTAAAATCTTTGTAAACAGTTTTTAATCGCTATGTAGGAGGGCGATAGGCCGATGATCAAGTGGCAATGTCGCAAGCGCCGATTTCTAAAGGCATTGGATGTTAGCTTCACCAAAGGAATCCGGTACTACTGCACAATTAAACCACCGCGAAAAAGTGGGGCCAGAATGGTAGCAAAGTCCAAAGCAAGATCACGATATAAAGGGTTGCCAATTTCATTAGGTCCGGAAGAGTTTCCGCGTTTAAGTTTCCTCAAAGCATCACTGATATCATCCGTAGTAATCGGAGCTATGATTGCTGTGTCATCCAGGTCGGTATGGGAGGAAGTCCCGCGTAAGAAAGCTGCAGTTTCAAGGGGCGTGTCTGAAAATCGCTGCATAACACCCGTCCATCCATCGGCCATCTCGTCAGCTAGCTCCTGCGAGCGATTAGGTCCGCAAGATGCCACACCACCAAGAGAATAATCGTATTTTCCTGAAATTATGAAGATACCCGAGCAACAAATCTCCGCGGAGTCTGTCCAGGACAGTACGTATGCTGCTGTAGTAGTCGTTTTTTTCTGCACGTTGCCAACGAAGATGACACTTTGATACGCGTCTGCGAATATCTTGGGAGGTCGTAGCGTCGTTATCAAAAATCTCAGTAATTGTTTCGTGTGCCCTGTCATGTGCAGTGGGAGTAGGCAACATTATATCCGGGACTGTGGGGTTCATTTGTGACACCTGAAGCCGTCGATGAAGGCGACGAAGCTGTTGACGGTAGCTTCTAACTATGCTACGTTTAACACGGCGTGTCTCGGCCAATATGTCCTTGCGAAGATCAAGTCTCCACCGGTCCCACCAGGAGGCCAACAATTGAGCAGTCGGTTTATCCGAGAAGTCAGTGGTGGAAGTGCTGTCAGCAAAAAGGCTCGCCTCTTGAAGAGCGCGTTCGACTAGTTGCCGAATCGATTGTTCCGCACAGGAAGCCACCGGATATACCCGCCGAGGTTTCCGCACTGTAAATGTCTGTGAGGTAGCACCAATCCGCACAGTTACGCCGTTATGGTCCGCGAGTGGACCCGGTAAAGATTTTTCTAAATCCCGGATCCAAGACGTCTGTTGTATGCTAAAATATTACCGGTCTAGCCGGTAACTCGCGGTACCGCCCGTAGGCAGTTGATAGAAATATGTGTGAGTCCTTGCATAAAAGTCCCGATATCCACGATCATCGACCACTTGTTCCAATGCTTCATCCAGTACGTCAATCACGCATATCTGTTCAATGAGCCCACTTGGGGCAGGCGATTCATGGCGACCTCCAGGTACTGAAAAAGAACGGTTGAGCTGTGAATTCAATGTACAGTTGAAGTCACCGCCTATGGTTATTGGCCCATCATGTCGCGGGAGTACAGCTAAAAGTCGTTGAAACAGCGCCTTACGCGCATGATAGGCGTTCGGGGCGTACACATTTACTACGACAAAGACACTCTCGTGATGTGTGAATTGTGCCGCCATCCAGTTTCCCTCCATAGTTTCTCCATCCACGGAACGATCTGTGTTACCGATGAGTATGGGTTAAGAAGGATTGCGACCCCTCCTCGTCGCGACTCCGTCTCAGTCCACATAGTCATCCCTCGTCTGTCCTCCGTGTCAAAACTCCATGTTTTGCTGTACAGCGCATCCATCTCGCATGCTTCCCCTATCAGAATTCTAACTTTTTGTAAAAGAACGATATTCTTTGGACCCACGATCACTGCGTTGTCGGAAATGAGATAACCACTCCGCACATTGAGTTGGGTGTTTGGGGAACCCCGCGACGTTTTGGGTGTGTAAGCCGATGGTGTTGTCAAGCGGGCGGGGCTGACGTTGCCGGGACTCTGGGCCGGGATAGTGATTTGCCCGCTGGTTTTGGTCAATTGGAACGGTTTGACCAGCAGAAGCGGTAGATAAGGTGCCCTTAGTAACGGGGCGGGAGCTACCGTTTCCTCGACTGTAGATGATTGAGAAACGGTTGCCAGTGTGCTGGAGAACTGATGGATCCTGCAAACGCTTCACGCACCGCAGGGGACGAGAAATAAAGTGACAATAAAGTCTGGGGCAGGACTACCTCTGTCGTCGTGTCAAACGGAGCTAAGGTGGGGAGGAGGACGCAAATAGCATTAAGCCCCCCATTTTGCGGTGTCAGCTTGTTGTTTGATGGTTGGGCAGGTAAAGCTACCATTTATCTGCACTACCCGTCTCCACTTCTGGATGGAGTCAGTGGTCTTCCATCGAACTTTAGCTGTCTGTGCCGAAGCTATTGTATTCCACCTCGTGCAGATGTCGCGTATTCTCGCCGGCAGGGTAATGTCCTTGGCGTGCCACCGTATCACCACTAACTGTGATTCGCTGTTGATGGCGTGTCCAAAGTTTAAGAAGGAATCCCGCGCCATTCGTTAAAGAAAATCACCAGTGTGAGGTAGAGACCGTAGAAGGCTCATTGACTCAGGAGAACAGCGCATGATCCAGTTAGTGAGATCCTTCTCTAGAGTGGCGTTGAATCAGGTAGTTGTGCACTGCGCTTGCGTGAGGTGATCCATGCTTTCATGACGACCAGATTTTCGGCTTGATGTTCGGTACGTAAATGAGTGACCGAATTACCGCTCTCTGCCGTAGATGATTGGGGTGCAGGTGAAGCAGCCGCCATCGTTATCGCTGGTGAAGCCGCTGCAGGAGTCTTGCGTGCACGCGGCGCCGACATCGTCGTCTCATGGGAGTTGGCTTGCCTCTGGGCGCTTTATGCCTCGGTAAACGCTAACACTTTGATTGGAAAAAGCGGGGGTGCTTTTTGAGAAAAGGTCGCTGGAGCGACAACATCCATCGCTTAGTTGTGCTCAAAGGCGGCCTCTATAGAGCGAGGAAAGGTGACTGGCCCTTCACCAGCTTGGGCGGGCAATTCCATATCGTCACCGTCTTGATCTTCGGAGCTTTCAGCTCCTGTATCTAGATCCGCCAGTCGTACCGTGTCATCCATAGCTCTGATGGACTCCATCATCGTGTCCCCGGAGCTGTCTCCGCACGAGGGGTTGACATTTGGCTGTATCTCATTACACCCATCCCGTTCTTCTTCACTTACGTCCGTGACGCATGCGTCATCACTGCTTCTCTCGGCGCAGGTTGGAGCCACATGGTAGAGGATCATCAGAACCAGTCTCGCCGCTGTCTCTGTGATCCATGCCACAAGCTGTTGTCCCGGTATTACCCGGGTCCCTTGTCAGAAGACGGAACGCCAGTGTCTTCTCCCACCGCAGAAATGTCGTCTCCCGTTGCGGCCTCTGGGTGGGGAGCCCGTGGAATCGGGGATGTGCAATTGTTTACATGGCCACGGCTGAACGGTAACGGCATCGATCCGTCCTGGAGTGAACGAATCTGTTTGTTGATATCCTCTCTCGCCTGAGCTTTGGCCTGTTCTGCTTTTTCCGTTGTTTTTTAGCAGCTGCGCGTGTTCGTTGACTTCGGTGTTGTGGAGGCGAGCAGCTTTAACAGCTGCTTTGGCGACTGCCTTGGCTTGTTACGAGTCTCAGCACGAACAGTAGCCACCTTTTGGGTCTGTAGGTGGTGATGCACCTATGGTGCGAGTCGCTCACGAAGAGCCATCAATCTTTGGTCATCTACGTTTGGGGCGACAAGCAACTCTGGAGGGGATGTTAAAGCGACTGTCACATTTTTGGTGAAGGACGCTGCAGATGAGGCTGGGTTGGAGGACTTGCAGTACTTACAATTATGTTTAGTACTCAGACAATCCCTGCACGGGATGCGATAGCTGGTCCGTGGGTGATGAACGCCCATCTCGAGAACATAATCATTGGTGGTGACGCTTTGCATGCGTGGCCGCTTGAGCTCTTCAGGGCATTCAGTAGTCGCAAAGGTGACCGCACACTATTAAATGCCGAACTCGGATGCACCCTCGGGTTCAACGGACTCGATCGATACTATTGGTACCGGAGTAGCAGCCGTCATCGCAGTTCAAATCAGCGCGGGTTCAGCGGATCCCTTGCCGATCACGTAAACACTATTGAGGATTGCATGGGAATACCTGTCGTTCCCAGTAGGTTGACAGCCCGTATCGATCGCTTTGGTTGCCTGGAGCTGAGAGGTTCCTTTGTCGATACGAAAGACTGCGTTGAATCATTCCACCTGAGCTTCCAGATGAATGAACACAAACTCGACAACAGGTGAGCGCGCCGAGCCTTCAACCCGATATGCTGCAGTAAAAACTCCTTCGACGCGTGTAGTTTCTTCGTCCAAGGAAGCTCCCGCCAGAAGAGCGCGGCATAGATAAAGTTCGGCTCCAGCTGCTGGTAACGTGTACCCGACGAGAAGACGCCCATACAGCCGCGGGAAGAGCCGCTTGAGATGGTACGAGAGAAACTCATCGCGTTCAGCTCCGACATGAGTCTCGGTGACAAAAAGTAGAGGTGTCGGAAGAATAATCACCCCTTGGAGCCATGCCAGTAGTGCACGATGCTCAATATCTGTCTTGTTCTTCTGAAAACAATCCATAAGATAGCGACACGCGGTCCGGGCACAATCATACAAGGTACGATGCTCGTTCTCGTGGGCCTCTGAGCCATACCAATTTCGAGCCTCTACCCCCCTAACAGGCCTCGGAGGGGATGTTGCTTGACGTTGCGAGCCCTTTTTTAGGTTGGATACTTTCTTTGGACCCCAAAGGCCAGAAGTTGCCTGTAGCGGAGCTACACAGCTCCTTAAGTCAGAGGAAGACTTAACGCTCTACGAGCAACTTAGTTCCAAAGAACTAACGACTTTACGAGTCAGCAAGCTTTACAGCTTCAGATCCCTGTTCCAGGGGACCTAACGATTCAGTGAATCGACAGCACTTAGTGCTCAAGAGTAGCTACCTCAAGGAGGTGTTGCTAACTCTTAGTGATCAGAGATCAACGATCAAGACGGCTCGCAAGCCACGCGTCTTTCAGATCAAAATGGGAACTGATTTTATTTAATGTTAAAGCCTATAGAATATCTTAATCCTACTCAAAGATCTTTCGTATCTAATGGCTGACACTTGTCAGCCCCTACAAACCGATAAGATATTCTATATCACCTTCACAGAAGCGAACCCTCAGGTGTGTAACACCTCTGGTACAAAGTACCATGATTTCGTGCAACCCCGTTACACCCTCCCCCACCAGACTGACGTTTACCCAAAACGTCAATCGAACTCGTATTCTCAGCGAGAACAGTGCGCGTACGGTGAACCTCACGGTAACGTACGCTCTAGCACGATGTCCTCATCACCAAACGAGTCAAAGGCTCTGTGTGACTACCTCGGAATAGAGGAAGAGGTGGACTATGGTAGCGATACCAGTGTCCGCGGTGACACAGGGACAACGTCCGGCTCACTGATGCCTGAGGCACAACTTTCGAACACCCCAAATCCGTTCGCTGAACGTGGAGGTGCGAGCGCGCCGCCAGCGCAGCGTGCAGCATCTGGGTTTGATGAGACTATCATCGCGAACCCGCTCGATGAGCAACAACAACTGCTTGTTCAAAGAGAACAAAACGCTCAGCGTTATGCACAGATGACTGCAACCCTTGAACGCCAGCGTGATTATGTGTTCACCCCACCCAGTGTGGAGGAACGTCTGCGTCAAGCGGCCGGCCAAACATTGGCAACGTGGGTCATTGGCCATGGGCCTAAGACTCCTGAGGAGGTGGTGAGCTGCCAGGCACTTCGTGAGAGGTACCTGGAGCCGCACCTAACGACTCAAAGTCAATACAAGGCACGCCTTGACATGCAAGCACGTGGTGCACCAGTTCCACCGATGAAGGGTATACCCATTCTCCTGCTCGCAGGCGAAACAGCGAGTGAAGAAGACGATGCCTTTGTTCACTGGGTGCACTATGTGCGTCGCCTCAGCAACATTTTTGCTCTAAGGGCTAGTGCCCATGCGGCGGATGTGCGTCTCGAACGCAAGCTTCGGTATGATTATGCCAAGCTTAAGGCCAGAGGCCAATTGCGCAAGCGCACGCGCTATGCTTCGGCTACTAAGGTAGCCGCGAGTGCTGGTCAGTCTGTGACCAACAACCCGCCAACCCGCACCACTAGTGGTGGTGAACGGCCTCGGCCTCGCGATGACCATGGCCACGATGCTCAAAAGCCTCCAAAGCATATGGGCAGTCTTGCCAAAGGGGTACCTCAAATTCCCATGAGTTTTCAGACTCAGGGTACCCACGCCACTTTACCAGATACTGATATTGGCCCTGACGACGACGTCGTTTCAGTAGTCTCTCGACATGGAATTGACGACACCCATGCTCATCGAGCAACGTCGGTGGCGGCCGGTGTACCGGTGGAGGCCCACGAGAAATTGGTTCTAGATATTAAGGGTCTTCAAGAGAACTCGGTTAAGACCCAGTGCATGCTGGATGCGATGCAAAGCCGCCTTCAGGCGATGGAGCAAGCTCAAACTCGGAGCGAGGCTCAGTTGGACTTGCTGATTCGTCTACAGCAATCCGGGGCAGTGCCCTTGTCGTCGGCGCAAGCGCCTCCAAGTTCACATGGGAAGGATCCCGGTACGGCTTAAGTAAGCCTACGTAGAACACTGGATGTGTGCGCAATTTGCGCGGAAGGTTTAGCGTATACGCAAGTCCCTTCTTGGCCGTGACCGTAAACGGTCCAATAAAGCGTGGACGCAACTTCGTCTTAAAGACAGCAGACACTACATTTGTAGGTAGGTTTTTTAGCATTGAGTAGTACTTGGTCTCCGACCTTATAACGTTCAATACAATTTCTGCCTTTGGCATCAGCTTGTTGTTTCTGGGTATCTTGGCTATCAGCCATTGCGTCACGCACATGTCTTAAGACATTTAATCGCGTTGCGAGAAACTCGCTTACCTGTTTTTGGACAGTAGCAGGGCTGATATCAGCAAGCCGATCGGCAACCTCTCCCCCACCAAGCCCTGAATCGCGTAGTGATAGCGCTAACGGAACGCGAGGGTGAGTGAGACCGTTTATATAGAACGGAGTAAAGCCTGTTGAGGCATCAACAGCGTTATTCAACGCAAACTCAACAACAGGGAGAATTGAGCTCCAACGCCTAGGGGTATCAGCGCAAATACTGCGCAAAATGTCGTTGATGACGCGGTTTACACGCTCAGTTTGACCGTCGGTCTGCGGATGATCCGCTGTGGACATGTCCAATCGAGTGCCAAGCACCTTGAAGATAGACTTCCAAAACTTCCCAGTGAAGCGGGGGTCTCTATCAGAGATAATTGCCACAGGCAAGCCATGTTGGCGAAACACACGGTCGATAAACAGCTTTGCTGTACCTTCCGCATCGATGCTATCCGGCACAGCCGCTAAGTGAGCCATCTTGCTCAATCGGTCAACAAAGACCACAATACCAGTGTTGCCTTCCGAATCTTTCGGTAGGCCAAACACAAAATCCATGCTCATGGACTCCCAACAACCACTGGGTACTGGCAAACTAGCCAGCGGCGCCGCCGCATGTGCCGAGGGTTTTACCCGTTGACACGTTTCGCACGTACGCACATAGGTGCGCACCCACTTATAAAGTTTGGGCCACCAATAACTTTGGCTCACCGAGCTATAAGTCTTCTCACGACCGAGATGACCACTTAAAGCAGTATCATGTGCCTCATAGAGGATCCGATACTTTAATTCCTCATTATGAGGTACTACGATACGAGGGTTGTCCTCAATATCCGTGCGATAGCACAATAGGCCATTATCGATGGAATATCGATGTAGCCTCGCACGTAAACGTGCCGACAATTCTATGTCCGAGTCTTTAAACTCATTGCTCCCAAGAGCACGTAGCAAAGCTACACACTGATCGTCCTTGGCATATGCCGCACGAATTAAGTCAGGGACTGACGACGACAGGGTCGTAACATGAGCAAGCTCATAGTCAGGTCGACGCGATAGCGCATCAGCCAAAGCGTTTTGCTTACCTGGCTTGTACTTCACCTCGAAGTTATATTCGGCAAAGAAAGATAGCCAACGAGCCATTCTCTGTGAGAGATGAGGCGACTGTGTCGCAGTGCGCAATGACGCATGATCGGTATAGATCACAAATGGCTTCGAGCCAAGCAGATGGACTCTGAATTTGACAAGAGCGTACTTCATAGCAAGTAGCTCTTTGTCATGAACAGGAT